GCTGCCACACACCTCCGACCTCATCGTGGTTCGCCACACAAGCGAGTTTTTCTCGCGGTCACTGTAATCAGCGAAAGTTCCTGCAGCATCTAGGGCATGCAATTCGATATCCAACCAACACAACGCGACCTCGTGCGACTTGTGTGAAACCCGATTGCCTTTGACTTGCTTTTGCGGTACGCGTCATCCCATGCGCCGACATGCTGCCCCCTGTTCAGGATATCCAGACCCGTCACGACTCGAACGCACACTCGTAGTCAGATGAGATATACAGCGGCACCCAATGATGCCCAACCTCTTTGACTTGACCTCATCTGAGCAATACGTGGCCCATCCATGCATGCCAAACGTTGACCGTTCATCGAAGCATTCACTTCATTTTAACCATGAAAGCGCTGTCCCAAGTCATCGCTGTGCTTGTCGTTGCCAGGTCATACACCCACGGCTATGCGAACCCTGACACTGTCGTCGACGGATGCCGCACCGTTCGGACTAACGACGCGGAACGACTCATTGCGCTGTCCGAGACCGCCCGTTGCTGGATGTCGACGGCGGAGGTGCGACCATGGCAAGTGGACCACGTTTTACCCACGACGTAGATTCGAATTCTCCATCAAAACAATACGGGGTTCGTCGACGATACGGACGGTCTGTGGACCGAGGGCACCCGACTCGGCAAAGAACGCCAGGCGATGCGCCTCTCTGCGAAATGTACGTTCGTTTGCAAGACGGACCATGGCCCCTAGAGACGGTTTTCATGCAGTTCCCACTAGCTTACCCCACCACGCCCGCGTTCCAAACGGTCGTGAAAGCCATCAACGCCAAAGTCAACCCGAAAGACCTCAAGACTCTCCTCACTACGTTTGTTACCAAGTTTACTACGCGACACAAGACGTCGGTGCAAGGATTGGCGTCGAGCATGTGGCTGTACGACCAAGCGGTTGCGCTGTCGAATGCGCATGGTCGCAACGATGTCACGACGTCCGTGAAGAAGTATGATCACGGGTGGGGCCAAGTATCGGTGATCTTTCGAGTTGACCCAGTCAAACCCGCGGTGAACAAGGACTTGCTCATCTTGGGGGCGCATCAGGATTCCATCAACCAACGGGGTGGACAGGCAGCGCCAGGTGCCGATGACGACGGGTCAGGCACGGTCACCATCTTCACTGCGCTCAAGTACTTGCTGTCGTCGCCGCAGTGGGTCCCAACCCGTCCTATCGAGTTTCAATGGTACTCTGCCGAAGAAACAGGCCTCCAAGGCTCCAAGCAGATTGCAGCTGCGTACGCCAAGGCCAAAGTTGACGTGTACGCCATGTACCAAAACGACATGTACGAGAGTTGGTTACACTTGTGATTGGCGACAGGGCTAACTTGCCATGGCACCAGGACGGGGTGGCACCGCGGGGGCACCAAAGTGATCAGCTTCACGGACGACTACACAACGCTCCCGCTCACCAAGTTCCTCGAGTCGTGTGTGACTACGTACCTGACGACCAAGGTGAGCCACAACACGTGCGGCTACGGGTGTTCGGACCACGCGTCTTGGTTCAATGCGGGGTACCCCACCGTGTACCCGTTTGAGGAAGATGGCGCAATAAACCCCAACGTCCACGTACGTATCTAGTCGTGTCGATCGCTGTCGATGCAATCTTTTCATGGTGGCCATGGCAGTCGGCCAAGGATACCATCGCAACGCTCGACTTTTCCCACATGGCTGAGTTTACTCGCTTGGCTGTGGCGTTCGTCGTCGAGTTGTCCCAAGCCAAGAAACGTTTCCAGTGATTGTTGACGTGGTCGAGAGATCGCCGACGGGCAGCCACTACCCCATTGCAGACTCGACGCGTTGTCGAGACATGTATCAATCCAGGGTGGTGAATTGTGTGCCTCCTTGTCGTGGAGGATGTATTTGTTCTGGCAATCGGCCTCGCCGGTGTGTTGCCGTGCGGAGTATGCACCGCCTGTGAAACATCCCATGAACCAAAGTTAGGTTCATGCAACCGTGCCCCGATCGCTTGTTTGCGACTTGAAACCTTTCGTCGAAACCAATGCATCTTGCATCGAGTTTACAGACAGTGTAGCGCGCACCCAGCGTGAGCCGCCACCAGGCATCGTTCGGCGCCGTCATTCCCCAATTCGCACGATATTGTTGAACAGCCATGATACTCACTATTAGTGTAACGTGACGGATCTGCGATTTGCCGAGGAGGGATTAGCCAACAGAATATGAGAATCCTTGTGATTAGATAAAATGAAATACTGCAACAAATAACACCTTTAGTACTTTATGGTGGGAAACTGCAATGAATTTCAGAGGTCATCACCGCGATTCAAATCAAAATGCCGCCAAGAACGACATACACCACCAAGTGCTCGATTCATCCCTTGTATTAACCTGTGAATTGTTCTTCATTCATCCAGGTTGAATCCTGTGGTCGTCATGACGGTGGTGACGGTGAAACCATTCACCATATGATTGCAGTACTGGAGTATGCGTATTCTGGATATTTAACGTACCATGTACGAGCCCAAGCG